GGCGGTAAGGCAGCGGCAGTGTGTATTTAGGCATCGCAATGCGGACGAAGGGCACATTGATGTGTGGAACAGAAATTTATAAGACACGAGGAACGACATTTTTTTCTAATGACGAGATCAAGTAACTTAAAACTAAGGCTGAGGCTAGAGGTTTCGCAAGCATGGTTGCTGTCTAAGCGTCAGTAAACAGGAGTGAGTTGCGTTGTAAGTTGCCTGTCCCGGATATAACTTATCACACAAATTTACCCTTCTCTAAAGTTAGGATTCATGAACGAAATGCCAGAATTACCTATTTTTCAATAAGTTTAGTTGAAATTTTTTCTTTTCTACTCAGTCAAGTTAGCCATAAAACGAAGAAGATTAGACGTTGTGGCTCTCGTTACACACTTTACTTAAAGAGTTTGCAAATTCCTTAAAGTATGGCCTTGACCTCTTTCAAGTACAACTAGCGTACCATAGTGAACAGCTCGGTTCCCTATAATCTTCCAGTTTCTACTCTGAAGATTCATTGATTCATGAAAACTTAGCCTTTTTATATATTTGCTTTAACCCTTCCTGGCTAGTCAAACGGTTGTAGAGATCAAAGACCAAAGAGTGCGAGTTAGAATCCTGATTGACCCGATCTGAGGCTATGATAATAGACGAGCACACCAGAAATGATAATTACAGTCTCATTTAGTCTATTGGTAGCTTTCTAGAACAAACAATTTCACCAGAACTCAAATCTGGTCTCTTAGAGACAACCTCCAAAAAGCTCAGTTTGCAGACAACCACACTCTCGTTGGCATATTAGATTAAGAAACGACTTTTACTAGCAGGCTTTAATCGAACTGCTTTCCTGCGCACGGCAGAGACGGCCAACCTTTGTTCCCATAAGGAAACTTCGTGGGGGGAGGCAGATAAAGATGCCAGATAAAGGAACAGAAGTAAAAGGCCTATAAAAATTTACCTGGAGGATAAAAATGCAGTAAGTCGACATTGTAAACTTCGATGTAGCCGGTTGAGAGAGCGACGGCGAGGACACACACAATCGCCGACTTTGTTACCCGAGAGAGGCGCTTGGGAAGTCGATGAGGAAGCCGACAGGCAGTAATGTCGCCATGACCAAAGGCAAGATGGTTGATGGTTCCATTAGTCTCGATCGAGAACAGGGCGGAAAGAGGTACCTGCTGACTAGTATCATGATCACCGCGAGCATTGACGTCCCAAGATGTCTTTTTGGTCCAGACACCGGTTGGGAGAACTGAAGCGGGAATGGCCGACGGGACTCTCACATGTTCCGGCCTGTCTGCATCCGAGCGAGGATAAGAGTCATGTTCAACACAGTTTCTGGTGGAGGGCAGAGCAAGTGACATCATGAAGAAAAAAAGCATTAACACAAGATAAGACAACGAGATAAGACCGTTTGCCTGTTAGATCCCATGAAGACTAACAGTGCCGGGAGAGGGGGGTGACAGTGACTAAATTGTGAGCTGAGTTATGGTGGGGGCGGGTAACATGTGCAGTATCTACCCTGACACTTGTTAATGAATGTTCACCGACTGCTAACGGAACTCCCTTGTCGCGCTCTGCTCTGCCTTGGGCCTCATTTATCGGGCCCTGACAGCAGTCTAACAGCTAGTCGAATAGGCAGATAGTATTGCTGGCAAAGATAAGGGAGACTGCAATAGCCATTTCCGGCTTATTGGCCAGCAATAGTATCTGCCTATACTACTAGCTGCTACACCTGCTGTCAGGACCCGGGAGATGAAGGCCCAAAGCAAAGGCGAAGCGGGACAAGTGAGTTTCGTAAGCAGTCGGTAAAAGTCTATCAACGGGTGTCAATATCTCCCGACCTAAGGCAACGAGCTCGTGGCTCAATGGTTAGGGCGTTAGACTCTGATCAAAAAAGGTCGCGAGTTCGAGCCTCCAGTGGGGCACCACTTGGGCCTGGGTATGACTGGCTGACGACGGCTAATAAGCCAGAAATGGCCATTCCAGTCTCCCTTGTGCTTGCCGGCAATACTATCTGCCTATACAAATATCTACCTTGCTTAGGCTTCCCACAGCCATAGTGATTCGATGGCCATATGACAAAGAAACGAATGGAAACGGCCGTAGGCGCAGCAAATGGCAAGATATTCGCAATTTTCTTTGCATACAACACACGTGCTGGTACCCCAACGCACACGAACTAGACATAACTAATAGAAGTTCATATCAGTTATAATACCATAGAGGTCATATTAAAGAGCCGCGGCACTCCTTCTGAAAACCGAGTTATTTCACCAAGCCACAGTTTTTGGCACGTCGTGACAGGTCACAACTGAGTGAAATTTGTAATGAAAATAAACTAGAGTCACTCACACTGTCTGGTCACCGCCGCCTCCCGCCACGTATCTGCAACAAGTTCGTGTCGAGCCAGTGGGAAATGATAGTCGACACGATAACTAACGCAATATCAGAACCCTAGTTTACTCGGAAGAAAAGCCAGAATTGCATCACATAGAGACTTAAATCCATACCGCTTTCCCCAAAACCAAATCTCATCGACAGAAATGAACAATTCAAACTTTAAAAAGTGCTGAATGTTTGTAGGCAATAAAGGGACAAAACGTTAACTGTGGGCATGTGAAAACTTGGGCTGAACGGACTACAATCAAGGGTAGCTATATTAAAAGTGAGTTTCGAGAGGACTAATCCCCGAATCCGAACATTTAGCTAAGGTAAGGGCACTAGTCAATGCAACCTCGAAGCACATTTGCATGCTTCGTCAGGCAGTCAAAACATTTCGTCGACGATTTG